GGCCTGTTCGTTTTGCCTTAAACCTGGTTGCCGACCCAGGAGATCATGTTGTGGGAAGGCGGCCCGACTGGATCAACACCACTTTCGTGGAGCAGTTTTCGATTGACACTATCAAATATCTTTTTCCTGGCTTGAGAATAACGACCCCCCCTGATCGGACTCACATCTACGGTATCCATGTAGCTTCCCTCACTTGCGCTATGTATGACCTTCAAGGTCAACTAGAGGCCAAGCAGTGGCTCACTAGCTCGGTCCTTACCTGCGCTCTTCGGTACTCTCTTCAGGGAATCCTCGAGCGTTGTATATGGATCCCTGGAGAGCCTCTGAACCCTGTTATGATGAAGTCGTCGATGCGCTTTTTCCTGCCTAACGACAACCACAACGCCTTTGACCGACGATACTGGGTCCTCCCCATTCATGTCAATAACGGAAGCCACTGGGCAGTGGGCATCTACGACGTTGCTACTGGCATTTTGGTTTATATGGACTCGTCGAAGGATTGGAAGGGGTATCAAGCTAATGCTATTTCTTGCCTGGTATCTTACATCCGTCACGCTTTCCACTGCAGCCTTGACGTGAAAGTGAGGAGGCCAGCCTGCGGTGAACAGGGCGGGGCGTGGGAATGTGGTCTTTGGGTCTTGGAGCACTGCCGTACCTACTTTCAGGGAGGTGTTTCGTACGGTGAAGAGGAGGATTTAACGGTAGTAAAGGCTTGGAGAGGAGATCGTTGCTACAGAGACTGCAAGACCGTGGGCGTTGCGGGGAAGAAGATGATGAGGTTGTGGATGGCTTATGTGAAAAGGTCTTTGGGTTGTGAGCCTGATCAGAGGGTGCGTGATAAGAAATGGAGGAGGAGGGGCCTGGAGGACTTGATGGACGCGGAAGGATTCAACCTGCCAAGCACCCTCTCGTCTCCTTTCAAGTCCCCACCAATTCCCCGGTTTGCTTCCCTCCCTGGTTCTCCGTTAGCTTTGGTTACTACTGTTGAGGGAGATGAGTGCGTCGTGGGTCTTCCCTCTGATCATGAAGGGTTTGGACCAAGTAGCGTGTCGAGCAACTCTCAACGACCAAGCAGGGTAGCAACCCCCTTTGGGTTCCGCACTCCTGTGACAATGGACTCGCCGCTCCTCTCTGGGCCTGTAATTGCCCGTCCCCCTACTTATGACCACTCAGGATCGCCAACAACACACCTTTCGCCTGATCACACACCTGGTTTCATGGGATGGGAGTGGGCTCCTGGAGTTCCTCAGAGACGAAGGGAGGAGGTCGTTAGGTCACCAGTTGTGATGGCTCGACAGGGACGGAGGTATGCTCTGAGATCCGAGAAATGAGGGTGCTCTTCTCTCTGATCAAGGGAGAATGGATAAAGGGATAGCAGGATTACATCGTTTTCCCTTCTTTCTGCTGAACGATATTTTCTTTTTTTTGTTTGTAAGGGATTTTTTTCTTGTGTACGCATTTGCCCACTGGTTTGTAGTGGTCAAATGCGAAGGGAGGTTTGGTTTGGGGTGCGGCCACAGGCCTGAGAGTATGAGTAAGGAAGCGGGGCTCTCAGAGGACTCAGGGGTTCAGGGGTCATGTATATAAGCGGTCTGCTTCGGACATTCTATTTTAGACAGGACATCGACTTTTATTCTTTGCTTCGTATTTTGTGCCTTGCACGCGTGCAGGCAATTCTGGCCCTCTGATCAGGCCAATCCGGTGCTTATTATGTGGCCTGCGAGCCCATAGTGTCTTTTCTTTGTCCTACGTGAAGTGCGGCCTGCGAGCGAGTCACTGTCACGCAGGTGTGTTCATTCTGAGACCTGTTGAGAGTATATTTGTGGTGTTGTGGTTGTTTTGTGTGTTTTCTCACCATTTCAATAATAGTGGTTTAGGGTGCGGCTATAAGCCTGAGGGTACGAGTGAGAAAGTGGGGCTCTCCGAGGACTCAGGGAGTTCAAGGGTCATGTATATAAGCGGTCTGCTTCTGGCAGTCTATTTTAGACGGGACATCGACTTTTATTTCTTCGTATTTTGTGCCTGGCACGCGTGCAGGCAATTCTGGCCCTCTCATCAGGCTAATCCGGTGCTTATTATGTGGCCTGCGAGCCCATAGTGTCTTTTCTTCGTCTTACGTGAAGTGCGGCCTGCGAGCGAGTCACTGTCATGTAGGTAAGTTTATTCAGGGACCTGTTGAGGGGATATTTGTGGTGCTGTGGTTATTTTTGTGTGTTTTTTTACCATTTCACTACGCTGATAGCTATTTAAGCCTATATTTTACAAGCCTTAATAGCACTTTTTTCAATATAAATTAAAGATAAAAAGCCTTTAAAAATGTTTTAAGGCACAGATTTTTAAATTATAGCTAATAAAGGTTTCGAACACAATATATTTCTCTTAGCTATAGCTTGAAGATTTACAATAAAAATAAATAAATAATAATTTTTACTACATATTATAAACTATAATAATAGTAAAAAACTTAATTTTAAATATATTTTGCAATTTTAAAGTTAAAGACATTCATTATAAATTATTAATCTTAGTTATTTTAATTAGTCATTTTCGTAAAATATATTATATATAAATTTAAATAATTATAATGATCATAAAGCAAGGTTTTAATTATAAAAAACTATTATTAAATTTATAATTATTAAAATTAAATTCTATAAATTAATTAGATTATATTAATAAGTATGTTATGAATTATAATATTAATTAGTTGAAAAAAGCGAGAACTAATAAAATAGTAGTATCAAAAGTATTTAAATATCTTATAAAAGTTAAAAGTTCTTTTCTTTATAGCTTACTTTGTGTAATCCCGTTAGTCCCTATAGATCTCATAGCCTAGCGCCCCGTAATTTTACCTTATTTCTCAGGCCTTGAATTTAACAGGAACAGTTCATAAAACCACCTGCGGTCCCGAGGTGCGCGCGTATCCCTGCTTGGGATTGTTCTTTCGTTATTGTTCTCGTCGACCTTGATTTCTCTGTACTATGCCCTAGGACCTAAAATCTGCCGCTTGTCTGTCGCTCTCTTCCCACCTACTATAGTTTTGATTCATGTCTAGTTGAGACTGCCTCTTCACCTCGGCGATATCCCACCTAACCCCGGACTTCCGGGCCTCGTCCCATCTTATCTTAGCTCGGGACAGGTCACGAAGCACCAGTTTACATAACACTAGCTCCAAATCACTTCCTCACAACAAAAACCAATTCATGTCGTAATTCCTCCCGCGCCTAACGACAGTTTTATCTTTTTTTTTTTGGTTTGCGGGGCGGACAATTCTTTCTCCTTGCACCTTATGAACCACCATTCAACGGTTTCACATCACAAATTGGACCTTTGTTACATGGCGTTATAAGAGACTGTTTCGCGGCATCCCTGATATCAGAACGGGTACCTGGATGAGCACTCACAACATGGCGCGCGATGAGACAATAACCGATGTCGGCACCGACGCGACTGAGTCGACAAGATTGCTAAGGGACAGAGATGAAACCAGCACCAGCGAAAGACGACAAGATGAAGGAGAGGCCTGGGTGGGTTACGCAGACTTTGAGGGTTTGCCTTGGTGGAGGAGACCGACAGTTTGGTTCCTCTTGGTACCATATGCGCTTTTTACCCTGGCATTTGGAGGGACGGTGGTGCCAAAGCTGAATTTGTATGACCTCCCCCCCTCAGTCAAACAGAGGGTGATTTTAGCTGATTATCGATACAGGATTCTCGAGCTGGTATGCAAACGCTACTTTGCCGACCGCTCCGCCCGCGACCCAGATTTCACCTTCACTCCGGTTGTTCCTGGCGAAGACAACGACCAATGCTTCATTCCTGAAGTTCAGCGGTCTGTCGCAACCTTTATGATGGTTCTCAATGTTCTGACTGGATTACTCAGCGCCTTGACGGCGCCGAAGTTGGGGTCGTTGTCGGATCGTTATGGCAGGAAACTCATGCTGACGGTTTGCGCGCTGGGTGGGATCATGAATGAGATTATTACCATCCTGGCGGCCAAGTTCCCGGAAACGATTCATTACAACTGGCTGATCTTGGGCGCGTTGTTTGATGGGCTTACGGGGTCTTTTACGGCGGGGAGTGTGCTGATTCATTCGTACACGAGCGATTGCACACCCCCTTCGAAGCGCGGTGTGGCGATAGGGTACCTACACTCGTGCTTATTCATGGGGCTGGCGTTTGGACCGCTGTTAGCGGGGTATTTCGCTGAGTGGACGGGGTCGTTGTTATCGATCTTTTATGTGACGCTGGGATGTCATATATTCTGGGTGTTTTCCATGTTGTTTATCACACCGGAATCGCTGTCAAAGAAGAGGCAATTGCTGGCGAGGGAGAAGTACGAGATTGAAAAGGCCGCGAGACGGCCACCGACTGTTGCGACAAGGGTTGGGGTGTTTGGGATGAGGGCGATGCTTGGACAGCAGATCAATGGGGTTGTGTACATGATGAAGAACCAGAACCCGTTTGCGCCGCTCAAGATTCTGTTTCCCAAGGGAGCGCACAATGCGAGGTTGAGGAGGAATTTCTTGATCCTGGCGTTTTTGGACATGGTGCTGCTCGGGGCTGCCATGAGTGGCGGGACGGTTATAATATTGTACACCGAGTACATGTTTGGATGGCGCAACTTGGAGAGCTCGAGGTTTGTCTCGCTTGTGTCGATGGTCAGGGTTGTGGTTTTGCTCGGTATCTTCCCGGTTATCAACTATGTGTTCCGGACGAGAAAGGCTGCTCGCTTGAGGCGGGAATCGACTGCGCCGATTGTGGAGAAGAATAACGGGGCGGACGAGTTCGATATCTGGATTTTGAGAAGCGCGATTCTGTCGGACGTGGTGGGAGTGATCGGGTATGTTGTTGTCCGGGATCCAGCGATATTTGTTGGATGCGCCATCATCACGGCGTTTGGTGGCCTCGGTTCAGCTACTATTCAAGCTGCACTCAGTAAACATGTGCCCGCTGAGCGTGTTGGTCAGCTTCTTGGAGGCATAGGATTGCTTCATTCATTGGCGAGAATTGGTGCGCCGGTTCTGTTTAACGGGATTTATGCCGCAACGGTGTCGTCGTATCCGCAGGCGTTCTTTGTGGTGCTGGCTGGGCTGTTCAGTGCTACGTTTATCGCATCGCTTATGCTGAAACCTGGAGGTAAGTTTCCTGACTGAATGATGTGAGAGCTAATAGACTTGGGTGCTGACATTTTACAGTGTACATGACCGAGGATGATGCTGAGCCAGTCGAGATTGTGGCTACCCCTGGTGAGCGGGATGCGCTGGAGGATGATGAGCTCCTTCCGAGAGTCTCTTGATTGTGATGTAGCTTTCACATGTCAATATGGATCTGGAATATGGGTGGGATTTTGTCTGCATTGCATTGGTTGTTGGGAGGTTGATCACTCGAAGTTATTAGACAGAGTCAGGTGTAGATGTGCATAACTTGAGGACATTGCATAAATTCATGAACTGAACGAATGCATTCTTTTGCACTCCAATTACCCACCCGACCGTTTCAAAGATTGAGATACTTGCTTTTATGCTGAATGCCAATTGCCACATCAACATTGAGGTCGGATGTGACCTGCGCGGGGACCCTTTTTGTGAGTGGCTGTGGCAACCGTTCGTTTGACTGATGTAGGCCGAGCTTCTTCCGCTATAAGCCCGCTAAATCCCACTTTCACTCTCATCAACAACACTCAGCTTCAAACGACAGTCAATAACACCACAGATCGGCAAGCTATTCCCAAGTAAGCCAGCCACCATGCTCTCCTCACGAGCATCAAAGCTGAAGCCTTTTCCCGGTGTATATTCTCACCGTTCTTTATCCCCAGGAACATTCCCGCAACAGCAGCAGCGGCGTTTGCTTCACCAAAAACGACCTACCCCACCACCACCACCACCACCACCACCACAACTTGGACAACCACAACGACGACCAACTCTCACCACTTTTCCAATCCCACCACCCTCCCTCTCAAGAAAAATCCCCTCCCTCAAAATGTCCACCACCCCCTCAAAATCCTCCCCCCCTCCCACCAACATAACCTTCGGACCCTATCCCATCCCCCATTCTCAAATCTTCCTCCTCACCCCCCTCACCTTTGCCCTCGTCAACCTAAAGCCTCTTTTGCCAGGCCACGTCTTGGTGTGCCCTATCCACCCACACAAACGCCTCACCTCTTTGTCTCAGGAAGAACTCCTCGACCTGTGGTCCACCGTCCAAAAAGTCCAGGTCATGCTCGCTAGGCATTACTTCCCTTCCCCTGGCGCCCCGGAGCAAGGGAGTTTTAACATTGCTGTTCAGGACGGGCAGGAGGCAGGGCAGACGGTGCCGCATGTGCATGTGCACGTTATTCCGAGGATCAGAGGTGTGACGGAGAAGGGGGGGGATGGGGCGGGGGATGAACTTTATGAGAGGATGGCTGGGGAGGAGGGGAATGTAGGGGGCGCGTTGTGGGATAAGGAGAATGGCTGTGGGGTGGAGAGGCCGGTGGGGAGGGGAAAGTTCGATCGGATTGAGGATGCGGAGAGGATGGCGAGGGAGGCGGGGGATATGCAGAGTGAGGCGGAGGTGTATAAGCGGGTGTTGGAGGAGATGGAGAGGGATGAGGTTAGAGATTATGGGATAGAGAATGAAAAAGGGGAAAAGATGGCTGACGATGTGGTAGCAGGTGAAGAAGTAAAGTCACGGCAGCGGGGGGTGATGGGGTTTGGAGAGTATTTGATCTTGGAAATCAAAAAGAATCTCGGGTTGGTCAAGCAAGAGGTGGAGACGTTGAATAAAGGGTTGGATGATGGCTATGTTCGCAAGCCGATGAGTGAATTTGCTGGATGGTATGGTTGGTTGTCGAGGAAGGGGGAAGCGGCAATTGAGGATGAGGAACCACCAGACGTTGGAAAGCTATTCGAGGGTGATAAAAGAGCGATGAAGGCTTTGGACCGGTTTGATGGTTTTGACGACGACAGGGGACCAGGTGGTTGGGAGGACTATCAAGTGGACTACGAGTTTATGGCGCTGTATGATCAGAAATATGACCAGTGGAAGGGCAAGAGGAGGAAGCAGAGGCGGGAGGCGAGGAAACGGCGGGCGGCTGGGTGGGAAACATTCATTTCAAGCAAGCCTGCACACGAGCCTTTCTTCGACGAAGACGAGAACTTTTCCCTTGGGCATGGCTCGGACGTTGGCGGAGCGGGCAAAGCCAAGACTGTCCTGATCAGGATTTTGAACGAGAAGAGAGGTGTGTCTGCGAATTGGCACGTCAACTTTGAAGCCTTGACGGTCGATGAGGACGTTCAGAGGAGGTTTTTGATCGGGATTGCGAGGGCCGAGAGGCAGCGCAAGCTTGCTTTTGTGAGATTTCCCATCAAGGGTGATGATCTAGGGGGATGGCTGGCGGCCAAGGGGGTCAACGGGGGGAAAGGTGGGAAAAATAGCAAAGTAGTCCAGGATCGGGAACAAACCAAGGGAGGTAAAGGTGGCAAAGGGAAGGAGGGAAAGAAGGCAAAGGCGAAATAATTGTTTGATAGATGTCAACTGAATCGAAAAGGCTAGAGATGTTCACACGCTTATTCAATCGCTTTAACCAAAGCAACTATCACGCAATAAATGCCATGCCTAACTCTTCCAAGCAACAAATCAATCCGATTCGCAACAAGGGAAAACGTATATAAACTACCTAGGTAACCAACCTGAAGCCAATTTGTACACTGCCCGCCAAATATATCCCAAAAGAGTATCCGAAATAAGTCAGCAATGCTCCCATCCCAATGATAACCCATTGCAACAAATCTAATCCAACCCAGGAAGATGATCCAACGTCCCCATCGACCCCAAATTATCAAAACCACCGGTATCCATCTCATTACCTCCCCTGCCACCACCATTCAACCCCCTAAACATAAAAAGCGATGATGGATCACCATTGCTCGGCCCTTGGTTCGTTTGTTGCGGTCCGCCACCGTTCGGCGACATGCCCCATGTCTCAAAATTCTGCTGCCAGTTCACGCCATCCTTGATGTACCAATCCTGCCCGTCAATCACATACCCCGAATTCGAGCTGATATGTCTCCTTGGGTTAGGGTTGAACGGCGAGGGGTTGTACGAAGGCATCGGCGGTTGTGGTGGTTGCGACACGGTCGACCAGGCGTTCATTGCCGATAGGGGATCAGCTACCGACATGGCCATCGGGGAAGTGGCGGCCGTGGTGCTAGCTGTGTGCGATTGTGATTGTGGAAGTTGGAGCCCAGCCACGCTGAAGTTGGCGAGAATATCCGGGGACATGCTGGCTGCTGGGAGGCGGCTTTCAAAGGTCATTTGTTGGTGTTGATGACTCGATGGGTACAAATATGGGTTTGGTGGACTGTGTTCGGCTTTGCTGTTTGGTGAAGCGGGCAGGGATTGTGGTGACTGCGCCGAGTAGTGTGATGATTTGTTTGGTGACGGGACGTCCGAAGTGCTAAACGTGCCATACTTCTCGTCGGTGCGGTTGAGCACCAAAGAGGCTTCTTCGGGGAGCTCGACATTCCATTTCCGCGCAAGAACGCTGAGAATAGACAGTGTTCTGCGAGCGCACAGCCAATCCTCAGCAATTTCTTCCAGGTGTTTGATGCCGTGGATAATGTCTCTCTTGGCTGTCTTTTCAGGTAGGTTGAGCATGTGAATTGTGCAGGCTGAGTGCACCATATATACGGCGATATTGCAGATCTGTCGTAGGTTATACATCTTTTTGTAGAGGCGCATCAGTTTGGAGATGGCGCCAGCGTTGGAAGTACATATCCTCCTGGGCGAGACATGTGATGGTAATGGTGATGACGACGGAGTGTATTTGAGGAATGGTCGGAACAGGTGGATGTACTGCAGGTGATAGAACATGCTGCTCAAGGTTAGCCACAACACATCAAGGAAAAAAAAAATCAACGAGGCATACTGCATCAGGATGACGTTCGGCAATTGCCCTTCCTTAGGCTCAAACTCCTTTGGCAACTCTGCTTTCCAATCCTCTAGTCGCCTGTGCAGCTCGCTGAGCTTCTTAAGCTCAACGTATTTCCCACTAGAGCGTCCTATATGGTTAGGGTGGTAAAAGAAGAGCAGCAGATCGCTGCTAATCTCGCAAAGCTTCGATAGCTGTAAACCAGTGGCCCTTGTTCGGGCAGGCTGCTTTGAAGACTGGTCAAAGCCGGTATCTGTGTATGGCGACCACATCATGGCGTCTTCGTCTGGAAATACATCGTACTTTGGTACATTGTATGAGTTCTTTGGAAGTTGAGGTAGCCGGCCGAGGTAGTTTGACCAGCACTTGTCGAATAGGAAACACCCCCAAAATGTGATCCTTCGGGCATCCACCTCCTTTTCATCCAACGAGTCCTTGTCCTTGGAGATACCGCCAATGTCTAGGTTGAGACCAATGTCCTGAGCCATCCGGAAACTCATACCGCTGTATACCCAGCCCTTAGCCTCCCGACCACATCCCGCTTCTCGAACAGACATGAGCGCCAATGCCTGCACAGTGGTGAGTTTTGGCTTTTCGTACTCGTCATTCTCCACGATAAGCCTCTTTGCCTCGGCGAAAAAATGGTCCCCCTTCGTTCTACTGTCGCCGGATATCGCAAAAGCGCCCGGTACACTTGTGAAGTGGCATCCAAGAGATAACATCGCATTGACCAGCAGTGACGAACAATACACCGTGGTTCGTGGCTGGCCTCGTGGTTTCCCCTTGAAGAAGTCTCGGTAAAAGAGGTCCTTCGACAGCGTCGTGAAATAGGGGTAGTGCCAGTTGAAGTACATGTTGATGAGGTGAACGATCAGTTGTGTGTCCTTGGTCACTTCGGTCCAGCTAGTCACTGGATCTTCGCCCGACAGGTAGCTCTCGGATTCTGGTTCGTCAGGTACGTTGGCGGTTTCGCCGAGATAGATCAGATGAGATGTCCCGCCGATGAATCGAACCGAACCATTCTCCAGCCTCAACTCTCCCATCTTGCGCGCCAATTCCCTCTCGCCTTCGACGGGTAGGTTTGCCGAATAGTCGTCGTCCAATCGGCCAAAGTCCTCCTCCTCATCTGCTTCGTTAGAGATGTCATTTTTGAGAATGGACTCGGCGACGTTATCCAGGCTGTCACAAGTACGAATCTTTTTCACAATAGCCGGTACGTCCTCTTCGGCGGCGTTGAGGATGGCCTCAATCAAAATCTGGAGAGTCGAGTTCCTGGCCTTCATGCTGTCCGTCTTCTCACGGTAGACGCCCTTGCGGCGATGGTCCGAATTGGGATCATAGACACATTCGGTGCCGTAGACGCTGGCACATGCCGCGCAGCTCGGTAGAGCACCATCGCATTTTGATTTCCTCTTGCGACAGGCAATACAAGCAGTGCTGACACACCTTCGTTTCTGGTTGGCGGGATCGGCGGCGCGCCTGGATTTCTTCTTGGATGGTGGTGGCGGGTCGGCGCTCCCTCCCGCAAAAGCATCCAGATCTCCGTGTTCAAACGAGGCGGCGACGGCGACGTCAGTTCCCTCCATCTTCCGGGTCGGCGGCGGCGGCGGGACAAGCGGTGGATCCCGATCACTTGTATGATTGCGGTGCTTGACTTGCGGGTGCCCCGCGATGGCCGGGACGGTGGGGAAAATCGGAGCGCGGTGTGTCAGAGATGAACCCGACAATTCTGCGAGTGAGTGCCGAGTGATTTGAAAGCACCAGGCCACCCGCTGCCGCTGCGGGGAAAGGTAAGGGGGCGTTCCGAGCTAGAGACGCGGGGGTCACCCAACTTTTTTTTTTCACGGCCCACTCTGGAGGTTGAAGCTCCAGCTCAAGATTCGGCTTTTCAACGCTCACCTCTCACCCGCTGGGTCGTAATGTCAGGAGAGGAATATCTGGGTTTGAACAGCCGGAAAACAGCAACGGCAGGGTGTTAGTCACGGCCAGTCATGTGGTGGGTGGTCAGGAGACGCCCGTTGTTGTGTAAGCCTCGTCTTGGGCCACGGGTGGGATGCGGCAATAGCTAGCGTTGACACTGGTTGACGGCAAGGCTACCGGCAAAACGTTGTTTGGGATTCCTGAATGATGGCAGGAAAAGTGGAGGAATTCAGAGACAGAAAGGAATGGCGAGAATTGAGGGAAGCATGAGCATATCAAAGACGCACGCGACGAAATAAACGAGCGAGGTTGTCTGATAGGCCAACGCAGTCTATTGGCATGGGTGGCAACCGTCTGCTGGTCGACCTTATTCAAGACCGAGAGAATCATAGCTGCTGGACATTGAGAAAGCAAGATCCGACTGCAGCATGCGGTGTTTGGTCGAGATAAGTTACCGCTGCTGGCCAGATCGCCGCAAGATAAGGCTGTTTCGTGATGGGTGGTCGAGGTGAGCTGCCATTCGGTCTGGGACGACCCGAAAGGTGGGATGGTGTTCCCGTTCCCTACGAGGTGTGAACAGCGAGCGAGACATTAAAAGACCCTTGGAGGCCGGGTTTTCAGCCGGGTTATCCGTCCAGCGTGGCCCTGGCTAAATTTCCTTACCTAACAGAATCGCGCTGAGCAGGTTTGGTAAACAAGTCAGTCTGGTTTTGAAGTTTACTGACAGCTTCCACCAGGTCTCATGGCCTAATGGCATTCTGCTCAAGATGATCATAATGATATGGGCTTGATAAGATGCCTGGCTCGGCAGTTCAAGTTGATTCGCTACCTGGTCCCGGGAATGCCAAGAGCGAAGGATCACCACCAAGAAAGGCTTGGCTTGCGGGTCTAGACCAGAGTGTGGGGGTACCCCCGGATTCTGAATACGGGTTATCTATTGGTTGCCCGGATAGCTGCATAATATGTCGACGACGGCGTCCATGGTGAAGCCTTCAATTTACACTCTTTTATGAAGACATTATTTCGAACCTGCAGCCTGTGCTCTAAGACTTGCCTGCGGGTGCTAGTAACAAAAACCTCTCCGGCTTCGGAATTGTGCTCAACTTCTTCATGTCGGTCTCATCCACCTGGATCCCCTTCTCCCTAGCCAAGTCAATGACGGCCCAAATTCTGGAATCCTTCTCCCAGTAGCACCGATCCAGCAACGCCATCAGCGTGTCGTCCGTGGGGTACTTGGCGACTCTTTGGACCAAATGCTCCCCCATATCCCACAACCGCGCAAACGCCAGGTCAAGGTCCCCTTCCCTGTCAGCCGCAAGATTGCGCACCGTATCATTAAGGGCCACCAACGGCTTCCCCACCGTCATCGTTGGGCCGATCCGCGGATAGGCCCGAGCAATCAGGTTCCAATCCTCCGCCGTCTTGGCCTGTCTACACAGGTATCCCAGCCCCCAATCACTCCCCTCCATAAGCGGCTGCACCCTCTCAAGCGCGTCCACCAACGCCCCCATATCCCCCTGCAAGCCCACAAACTCCAACAGCGCCACCGGCCCCGAAGCTGGCACCTTCCTCCCCTTCTCCTTCAACTCTCCCAAAATTTCAAACACCCTATTCGCCATCTCCGGCTCCCTCACCAACAACCTCAGTATACTCCTCGACTCCTCCTTCAACCCGGGGTACGACTCGGCCTTGATGCTCGCCACCTCCAACGCCTCCTCCAACTTCCCCTGATCAGCATAGCAATCCACCAACGCCTCATAATGCAACCCCGTCATCTTGATCCCCCTCCCAGCCAACTCCTTAAACGCGCCCGTTGCCAGCTCCTCATCACAATGCCTTGCCCCGGTGTTACAAATATTAATTCAAACATCCCATCCCTCAGGCACACCAAGCCCCATTCTTCCA